ACATCGGTATGTAGTAAGTGTAACAACATACCGATGTTACACTTCAAAAAAATCTTTTTTGTTGTTACACTTTGAAAAAATTCGATTGTGTTGTTTCATTTCAATAAATTTTTTATTTTTGTTTCACTTATATGTGTTGTGAATAGAAGTTGCGTTTTCATTCTGGGACATTCATTTTTTTCTATCTCTCTCTCTCTCTCTCTCTCTCTCTCTCTCTCTCTCGTTTGGTCACCCACTCTTCTGCTCGGTCGTTCTCTCTGTCCATATTCGGTTACCGGTTACCGGTTGTCCATATTGCATCGGAATGTTAAATGGTTCTCTCGGTCTCTCGGTCTCTCCGTGTGTCACGCCGCTGAAGAATCCATTTGACTTATTAATTATTGACCGCAATGTCAATGCATTGGTTGAATCAGAAAAGCGCTTTTTGAATCAAACGGAAAATACATCCAATATGGATCAACAGTCTAATATATGGATGGATATGTGTGTGTGTGTGTGCTAGTGTATGATTCGTCAATTTCTGATTGCATCATACATATGTGTATCACTCTCTTGAAAAAGGGAGAAGAAGAAAAAAACAAATATAAAGCGGAAATGTTCCGGTTTTGGAGCGGTGCACTACCAAAAATTCCATGTGCATGCAAATCACCCAAACGAGACAGAAAGAAGAAGAAAAAACACCCGAAATATATCGATATTAAAAGGGAAACGTAAAGAAGGAAACAAAAAACCGAACGCAATGGAAATTTCGGTAAAGGTGCAATGTGCGTGGTCATTGACAGAAAAAAAAAACGGTTACATTGCTTTGAAATAGCTCAGCAGCTAGCTATACACACACACATACACTCATACTGCTGGAAAAGGAATGCCTATGCAGCGTTATTTTTGTTTTTTTGCTTTTTTACACATTTTCAAGAATTAATATGAACAATAACAACCCTAGGCACAAGCCACGAGACTGAAACTCATAAAATCGAACAGCGCAAAAGAATGTTCGGAGAGCGAGAGAAGGAGAAAGAGAATGAACAGCATAAGAGACTGACTGGCTGAGCCCGACTCGTTCATTAATACGTACAAAAACAAAAACTTTGAAAACTAATGATCAAATGCGTGAGTGTGTGCTCATTGTGCGTATCGAACACATTGTACTGTGCCTGTTCAACGTTAAATTCCGCTTCTGCGATTCCGATTGCAATTGACTTTGAACAACGTGCGCGCAACGGTCGATTGTTTGATGGTGTTGCTCGTTTCATTCTCTGCTGTTCATTTTTTTCGGTTTTTTTTCTCTTCTGTCATACATACGGTTTTATAGGTGCTTGTGATTAGTTAGTATGATGCAACGCGCCAAATGTGTGTGTGTGTGTGTATGTGTGTTGTTGGGGTGGATGAAGAAATGAACAGATAGAAAGAAACGAAATACAGTTTAACGAAAGAAAAAAAAACAAAAATTCAATTTAAATTTTATCTATATCGCAGCAACACTGGTTGCTCGGGTAGCAGGCACACTCGTAACGCTCATTGTCATGGTTGTATTGGCACCACCATGCGCTCGTTACACCATTACTAAGAATCGCCACACAGCAACAAGATACAAAAGAAAAATGGGATAAAGAGAGATAGAGAGATGAAAAAAAAACCTGAACAATCATTACTCATGAAATATGTATGTTCAGGGGTATCACGGTGTATGATTTTGTGTTTTAATTTAAATGAAGTAAAATAAATATGTGGCATATTCAAAAGGAAAAACGAGACATATACACGACAACAGCAACAACAACATCTACGTCGGAACATACGCAACAGTTTTCGAAATTACGAGAGAAATAAGTTGAGCTGGCCATTTGCTGCTTGTTTAGAAAATCATGATGCGTGCCGTGAAATGTGTTAAATTTTAACGTTCGACGATATGTGCCAAAAATATCAGTGCAAGCATATAGCAGTTGCCGGGTGTATCAAGTTTGCTGATTTGCAACAAGATCAACATCGAGAGAGAGAGAGACATTTGAGACTTGCTTTGGCGTTAAATGAAAAGATTTGCGTTCTCTCTGTTTTGTTTGTTTCTGCATATTGCATTCTATTGCATTGAGGCAGCGATACATTAATACATAACTTGGGCACAAAAGATTCTCTCTCCGGTTTGCATTTCGCGTGTGTCGCCAGTTGCGAAAATGTTATTATAATCGAGTTTGGATGTTCTTGGCGAGAAGAAAGATGCCGGGGAATTTGTTTGATTGAATCGCGTAACATAAGCATGGCGTGAAGGCGAATGGAAAGAGAACAAGCGCGCGAGAGCACGAATCAGAGAGTGAGAGCACAACGGTGGCGGTGGCGGCGGCGGCGGCGGCAACAGTGACGGCGGTGGCACTGGCATATATCACACGAAACGGAACGGTATACAATTGTCAATTGAAAAAAGCTACATATCTTTGGTACGAATTCATGACAATAAAATCACTCAGCCATCACTCAAACCCAGCACACATGTACTGTATCTCTTTAGTTCGTCGGTTCGTTCGTTTGTTTTCTTGCTCACTTCCAACATTGTGTGGTGTATCCGATTTGGCAGAATACTTTGCATCCCATTCACCACCATACACTTGTGCACACACACACACACACACACACAGCCCAGTACAGCAAAGCACAATGCGTTTTGCCAAATGCAACAACTACTGTTCTGCAAAAGCCGTTCGGTCGGTATCAAATTTTCAAATTGTGAATAAAATATATTCCAACAATCACAAGACTTATAATGAGTGCTTTTCAATGTGCATTGTACTGAGTCTCGTCACAAGCCCGACGACGACAACGACAACAACAACGACGACGAATCAAATGTACTCACTGTTAGCAGTTTTGTGTATTGTCACATTGATGTGCTCGGCATCGCTCTTGCCAATTCATAGTCGAGATGCTCGTCTCTCCTTCTCTCTCGCTCGCTCTCACTTCCTAGATGCTCCTAAATATTTAATAGAGACAACCGAATAAAAGGATAAAAATAACTAAAACTTGCGCGTATTTAGGAATATTGCCTCGACGTACCACCATATAATATAGAGAGAATTGTATCGTTTAAAATTTAAGTGGCATATGAATTGAATGTGTGTATTTTCGAGTGTGTACACGCCAAGTGTGTGTGTATGTACTCATTGCATGTTCGTACTATTGCTTGCTGTCGCATTTCTCGTATCGCTTCGTTTGTTCGCTCGCTCTTTACGGGCTCTGTTGTGTTATTCCTTTTTTTTTGAGCCGTACGCGCCGAGTTTTGTAACGTTCGAAAATTGTCAGTGAGTGAAGAACCCGAGCAAAAGCGATTTCGATCGTTTCATTCGAGCGCACTCACCATACGCACGTATAAGCAGAAGAAGAGAGCGACACATGCACACGTATACACATACACACAAACAAATATACCAACATACAAACACGGGTAGCAAACCGAAGCAGCGACAAGCATTGAAAGCAAGAGCCAACACACAATGCACACATGCTCATGCGATAAGCAAAACCGTCAAAACGGAATAACGAGCAAACAAAAAGCGTTCGTACGAAAGACACAACTATACACCAATCCACTTGTTCAATGCGTTTCGCGTCCGACATTGTGCGTTGCCGGAAAATGATATAACGTATGGAATGTCGAGTCAATTGACGGAGAAATAATCCGTTTGCTGAAATTCTCATTGATTTTTTTGGTGGCATGAATTGAGGTTAAAATTAACTCATAATAGAATCGAATTCATTGTTGAAAAAAAAATCAAAATCATCGAGGAAAATGCATTTTTTTCGTTTATTTTGAAATTCCAACGACAAAATAAAGACGTAACAATCGTCGGGTTGCCCGGTCGCAACGGCCGGACCAACAACGGACAACACCGAATGCCAACGCCGAAATGGTAGAGCGAAAGCATATACATCGGGAAAGACACATGCAAAGACAGTGGAAATGATTGCCGAACGAAAACGGGCGCACGGATACTTTGTGTTTAATAGACTGTATGTTGTGTGTGCTTCAACTCTCTTTCGCATAGATAAAGTGAGGTACAATGTTCGTTGTGCGGCTATGTGATAATCAAACGAATATTGTGTGTCGGCGGTGGCGGTGGTGTGGCTTCAACAGCAATTCTATTCCCCCACAAAACAATTTTATTCCGCGCGATATTTTCGGCAGCGTGCGATCAGATTCATAGAGAGTGAGACAGTGTGAGCACCGACGAAACCAACAACAAAAAAAAAATTAAAAAAAAACACAAAATTCAAAACAGCACCAAGTGATTTAATTTTCTGACAAGTTGCAAAACGCACGAAAACTTTTTGGGACGACTATACACCAAATAATTTGTTGTTTTTTTTATTATTATTTGTTGCTGCTGCTGTGTTTCACTGTTGTTTTGTTTCATTGAAGAAAATGTATTAAATTAACAAAAGTCAGTTAGTTTCGGTTGATACTTATACATATATATATGAAACGTGGCTGCGAAAAGTTCGTGACTTAATCGAGACAAAAGCGAAACTGAGAGTATGTCAACGGTTAAAATTTATTTTGAAAAAAAAATAATGAATGACAAAAAATTATGCAGTTTGATTGTTGTTGCTGTGTTTCGTTTCCCTCTTTATTTATACATATCTTTTTAAAAGTAACGGATAGGAAACAGCGAATGGACTCTCTCACTCGGATGGTAGTCGAACGCGCGCGAGAAAATAAGGAGTTTGTTTATGTTTCGGGAGTGTTTTTCAAATGCAAATCAACGGTTTGGGTGAAGTGACAGTTGAGAAGCTCTTATCCTTGGAATTATTTAAATGTTTGATGATTGCTGACTATATTCTCTTGATTTTACGAGAGTTCTAACCGCTTTCGTGTCGAATTTCCCCGGATCCCCGCTAATAAATTCAGTTTGACGCGTAATTCTGTGTTTTTGTGTGTGTGTGAAAGAGAGAGAGAGTGCGTTGCTTGGTATTTGTGTGTCTGCTGAATATCAATTCAATATTTTTTTTTTGGTTTCTTCCGTTTTAATATTTTTCACTTCGTTTTGTGAATGTGACCGAGAAAAATGTTCAAATTTACTTGATCACAACAGATAAATAGTTAGATATAGAGATAGCGTGTGAATGAGAGTGAGTGAAATGAGCAAAGCAAACGATGTGCGCGTTCCGTTAGGAAGTGTTTTTGCTATTGTTGTGTTATGACTGTTGATGATGTCCAGTGTCGAATGTAAATGTGTATGAGGGGCCGCTCGTTCAATCGTTCGTTTGTTCGTTCGTTCGTTGATTCGGTCTCGGACGGATGTATGAAGCGAATTTCAATTTGAAATACCACACAGTTGTCAACAGTCCAAGGATTCTCTCTATCTCTCTATTTATTATTTGATTTTTGTTCATTTCAATTTTTCGTGAGAGTCGCGTATCCAACGCAACTACCGATGATGAAAATTGGCAAAATATAAAATCGAATGTGCTCTTATAGTTGTTTTGGGTTCCGTGGTACAAACAACTATTTCATGAAGCAATCAAACAGTTCAACAGAAAATTGAATATAGACAGAAAAAAAGAGAGGGAGAGAGTGATTGATCTAGAGGGGAGGGGGGTCGGAAATAGATATATTGCGTCCAATTTTTTATTCACCAAACGAACAACCGCCAAGTTTAAAATTAAAACTAAAATAAAAATATAGAGTAGAAAAAACAAACACACTCTTCAACAAACCAATAGTGCAGTATTTCCGTGAATGTAAACTAAAACTCTGATTTCAATTGAATCGGTTTTTCATTAATTCGAGTTCGATTTTTTTCTCTATCCCTCCCTCTCTATGTGTATGTTCATTCTCGATTGTTGTTTTTTTCCGTTGCAGTCGATTCTTTTAGTTTAAATGGAATAGAGAATTATTCAATCAATTTACAAAGTTACACAAGTGAAGATAACAGTTTGAACACAAAAAATAAATAATTAAATCTATTTCAATTGTTCTATTTTTTTTCTTCATTCGATCGGTGTGTAGATAGACATTGAAAAGCGAGAAAGAGGTGGAAAAGTGTGATTGGTTGGCCAATTTGTGGTACATGTTCTCTCAATGCTGGTGAAATCTTAAGTGATTTTCGGCCACATACACACACAAAATTGTTATCGGAGAGAACAACGAACGCAGTCAATAAATTCGAGTGATACAACAGTGAGAGCTACGACAAAACATACAATATGCATCGACTCAACACTGGATATATTTTAGCTACATTAGCTGCTATTGTAACAGGTATGTGTATGTTTTATATCGATTTTAATAGATAGTTGAGTGAAATTTTCTGCACATTTTCAACGCTGAAGCGACGATGATTACATCTTTTCGCTGTAAATTGACGATTGATGTTTTGGTCTGTTTATGATCGGCATGAAAATTCCGTTTAAATGACGTGCGAGTACAGCCCATGCATAAAAACGATGTCATACATGTGATTCACGCTAACAATGTGGTCGCAATTCCAAACATATGGAGTTGAGTCAAGTTCGATGGAAGTGTGGATGGCAAAAAGTACATCACAAAGCAAACAACAACAACGATAGCAAGGGCGAGAGAGAGAAAGAGGCGAGAAAAAAAAACTGTACGTTAAATTCGAAGGGAATTTTCCGAATTCCGAGTTTCGTTCATGGCGAGAGATAGTATTATTATTTATTACAATCATATTTTCGATGGAGAGACAGGGAATACGTCGCATTTTCGGTGTACCGCTGCTGCTGCTGCTGCCATTTGAACGCATAATCCTCTCTCTTCGTCTGTTGGTCGGTTGCTCGCGTTATGCCATAGGCCAAAAATAAATTTTAGCGATGCAAATTTTCGGACATTTATTTGCAAAAGCGGTCGCAACTGAAACAAATACCATGTCTCACTGACTTTGTGTATGCGCGCCGCTGTCGTTCTCTCACCGATCTCTTTGAGCCCCGCGTAGCGTTCTCGAAACCGAGTGGAACAAAATGAGACGCGACAGAAGAGGAAATATGTGTCGGTGCGAGACTAGAATTTTAGTCGAAAATGAAAACAAATGACATCATCGTATCGAATTCATGGACAGAGAACACCATATCAGATCTCTATCTCGTTTGCATTGGGGTGTGTATTTTAAAGAATATCGCATCGATTCCACAGCACCATCCATTCGACCAGCATCCATTAATGTGCAGATGGTGAGAAAATGACGACTGACATGCATTATTTCGATCTCTGATTCAATTTTCGGCCCTTACCCCGGCCCCCAGTCATCGACACGAGAACACAAGCGAGAGAGCAAACACTCGCACACATATTGTTGGAGCATTCTGATTCATGTTCATCGACATTATGGTCATGTTCACCAATTTACACCAATTATATATATAAAATGTGCGATTCATGTTTCCAGCCGAATAAAATATTTCCTCGAAAATGACGTTAGTGACACCAACCAGTTTCCATTCGAAGGATTCGCTCGTGATTTCATTGCGAATTCTATCGTGAAAAACATATAGATTTATTATAGATTTATAATTTGTGTGTCGAAAATGTTCTACCAAATGACTGCTCTTTCTCTCACTCTCTCGCTACATCACTTTTCGCCAAACTTCGGTTCGATGCGTGAGCATTGCTGAGTGCAACATTTTTTTTCCTTCACTCATTCACTCACATCCCATTCAACTCGCACGCGTATCAATAGCAAATGCGGCAATGGCAGTGAGCATCCATGAAATAATCGTTTGACCAAAATATTTACATCGACGTACGATTTATTGCTTTGACGTGTGATGCTGTGTCGGCTACTATGCAAAACGCTTAGCTCACATTATATATACCGCCCAAACTATTACTTTTCACGTTTCAAAACTTTTGCTGAGTTTGCCATTTTTTCCACTGCTTCAACTAACGCTGTTGCTGCTGTTGCAGCCGCTGCCGCCGTTGCATCCCGTAGAGAAAATGCGCACTTTAATAAAGCCACTCTTTCTCTCGTGCACAATTTTTTTTCCTCGCTATTTTTTCTATAGCGCTTGTTGTTCGGATTCATTTCGATCTTCGGTTTTTTTTTATTATTATCCATAGTGCTTTTTTCCGTTCGTTGCATTTTTTCGTTGATTTTTGCTGATTCAAATGGACTTTTTTGACTTTGAAGCGCGAAGAGAGTAACGCCGATCACTTCTTTTGTGTGTGCATTTTGTCCATCACCTTCCCCAACCTCTACATTCAAAAGAATCTGAAACAGATTGAAATTCCCTAGATCGACTTTAACTCCATTTGTTATTCATTCACCAGCCTCAATAACATGCATTCACAAATGGGATTTTATTCATTCGATCGCTTTCTCTCTCTCTCTCTCTCTCTCTCTCTCTCTCTCTTTGCTCTCGCTCTTTCGCTTTTGTTTGCAAACATTTTGGCTGAGAAGCGCATTGAACCATCCGGTAAAATAATTCTTCTTTTTTTTCTCTCGCTTCGCATATTTTTTCGATGTATATTTGTTTTGTTGTTTCCATTTGGTATGGAGTTTGGAGGAGATAGAAAAAAAAGAATTCATATTTTCCGCCGCAATCGGTCTTCATTTATAATTATGTCTATAAGCCATTTGGATGGTGTGCTTTACGACCGAATCCTCTAGAATCTGATAGGCACTCAGGCAATGCCAGTTATAATAATTAAAATGAATGTTTATAATTACATATAGAAATGCGAGAAAGAAAAAAAACTACCGCCGAAATAAAGTGGAATGCGATATTTACATAAATTACACTTTGGTTCAGTTTATTTTGCTGTTTGGCGTTGTTTTTCGTTTTTGTTGTTCAGAAATTCTCGCTTTCTGTGTACACTTGCTTCGATGATGACTTTTTTTTTCGGCTGGTCTTTGTTTCAGAGAGAAGAAAAAAATTATTGCTGTAAAGTCAAAATTCAATTCAATTTAACCTTAGCGCGTTATAGCAACAACAAGAACTAAAAAAAAAAACAAAACAAATCCATACATACACACTTTGCACGTCGTTTGAGTTATGGCCTCTCATCTGTTTACTTGACTTGAAATGCTTGAGCGGCGAAACGAGAAAAGCAGAAAATAGCACGCATACACACATGTGCGACGATGATCGTCAGTCGGTCTCTCGCCGACAACGACAACGACTACGACTATGACTACGACTTCGCCGACGTCATGTATGTTCGTGATCGCTTTCAAATCGACGTGTGGCTAAAAATAAACACGTTTTTGGTTTATAGACAGCCAAAATATTTTTGCCATTTCAATCGCACACTCACACAATTTTCCAACAATTATGATTTTTCAAACAATTTTTTCTTGGTCGATCGTTTATTTTGCCAATCGCGCGTTCTTTTTTTTCTCTCTCTCTCGTTACTTCTGCTGTTGCTGGTTGTTTTGCTCGCAAAAACACTGACTAAATCCACAGGAAAAAAAATGATATAAGCACGAACATCAACAGCAGCAGCAGTAGCAGAAGCAGCACAAAGCTGCGAGGAAAAATGTTCGATGGAAAAATACAGCGATTCCAGTGTCGTTCGTTTGCATACATGCACCCCAAAAACGGGATGTATAGTGCTAAGACTGAATATAGTTGCTGGTGTGTTGTATGTATGCAGTTGTTGTTGTTGTTGTTCTTGTTGTTGCTCTCAAACACCCATAGAACGCAAAGCTTTTTTTAGTTTTCCTTTTAAATCATCGAATCTGACTTCCCTTTTTGTAGCTTGTTGGCGAGGAATGTGCAGTCGTTTTTCTGCGAATTGAATACGAAGAATACAGAGAGTGAGTGCAGTGGAAAAAAAAACAATGCCATACACAATATGGAAGAATTTGTTTTTGAGGCGAACAGAGAGAGAGAGAGAGAGAGAGAGAGAGAGAGAGAGAAACAACAACTGAACGAACGGCACGAAGTGGGAAATTGTGAAAAAGATTTGGAGGAATGGGTTGGGGGATGGGTAGCTCATTCAGGAACACGAGAAAGGAAATGAATAATAACAACGACAAAAACATAGCACCCGGCAGTCGACTGTGGTGGTGCTGGTGGTGGTGGTAGTGATGATGATGTCGACGATGGTAATGGGAGGATGAGTGAAAAGCGCACGCGGTAAAAACTAGTGGCGAAAAAATGTTAAAAATGTGATGCACTGTCGCTTTCCTCAAATGCATTTTGTACTTGGCTGTGCAATATCAAAGTTAATTATGTTGCACGATAAAAGTCTTCAGAAACATGCGTCGACACTGCCAATATTGCCACCGACGTCGACGAAGAGAAGAACCGTTTCAATAACGTGCCGCTAATTCAATCGAAGCGAATATATACACATCGTATATAGACGGTGTAAAATTCGAAAAACTTGACTCATGTAGTCTCAATTTTCTCTATCACTATCGCAATAAAGATTGCATGTGTTTTTTTCTGCCTGGCGTTTTTGTTGTTGTTGCGTGTGCACGCTTGTTATCTGAGATTCTTTTGACGAGTGGAGCGTTTTAACATAATTTGAGAAAATGTGCTCTGTCGAAACGGCGATCGAAGAAGAGTGGTCCATTGAATGTTTTATTTGTTTCATCTTTTTGAATGACATTGCAGAGCAACAGCGACATAAACACAAAAAAACTCCAACTAGCATATGTATCACAGTTAAGCTCGCATTCGATGTCGCGCCACTCACAATAGGATCGAAGAGAAATTGAGAGACGAGAGCAAGAGACAGAAGCAAGCGACCCGGCAAAATATTGTGTGTATGTGTGTGTGTTTGGAAAAATATATTTCCACGGAAAACCAAAAGGAAGAAAAAAAAACAATGGTGTGTCATAAATCCGATTGTTATTTGTGTTTGTTATTAATAAGCCATCGAATGGAAAAATGTTCAATTTCCCATTTTGACAGTCGTTCTCAATTATAAATTGACAAGAGAACGAGAACGCAAAGCAATTTATATATTATGCTGGGTATGTACGAGTAGACATTTTGCTGCATTTTACTCTTTCGCTCTCTCTATCCGTTCACAAACAAAGTAATGTACCGTTCAATCGAGTGGTTTGGTTCCTGTTTGATTCAGTTTCTTCTATTCCCCCCTCCACCATTCTGCATCGACAGTTCCGTGCAATTCCTGCCGCCGTTGTCGTTATTGCCGTTGTCGTCATCGCTGCTGCCTTCCTCATACCATTCTGTGCCCGTTCAGCAATTCCAATTTTTCCTGTTCTGCATGCAACGTGCGAGTGCATTAAAATAATTCCACATCATCAACAATCATGGAAACAATAACAAACA